TTAATCAACAGTACAAAGAATCGAAAGTTTCAAGTTTCCAGATATAAAGGTATTTTGGTTTATTATTTCACAGGTGAATGCAGCTCTGTCTTGGCAGTACATACCGTGGTGGAGAAAATGTGTCCTGGGGGGTGTTGGGGGACTTGCTCCCCATCAACCCTCCCCTCGAGCAGTGCCTGAAGGGCACACCTAGTCACGGCAACTTGTATTGATATATTAGGTTGGTTTATTGGTCAATACGTTTTTGGGGGTTGGAACGTGTGAATTCCCGTAGAATTTTGCCGAAAGGTGGGTTGGGTTCCCGTAGAGTTTTTTGAATTCTGACGCATCAGCCCGTAAAATTTCAAAGATGGCGGTTACATCCGTAGAGTTTCATTGACCGATTTTAAGCGTTTTTTGTGCTAGTTTTACGCATTTTTGTTAACCACCACTTTGCCCCTGACCCCTCCCTATTGGCAGTGAAGCAAGATTGATAGCTATGATAGTTAAAAAAAAAAAAAAATTACTATTTGTCATGTTTGCCTCAGCTAAACTGTGAACTCACTCATGGATCACACCACCCTTCTCTCATGGGTCAGATGAGGCCAAGATTATGCAGTTTTGGGATGTTGTTTTAGGGGCACTGTTTACTATTAAGGTCAAAATATTGTAAAAAAGAAACCTTTATTGCTATGAATTCCTCACACCACCCCCACTCATCAGGTTTTCATCAATGCCATGTCTTGACGAAATTAGAGTTTAAAGGTGCAAATTTATTTATTGCTACAGAGACGAGTATATAATTTAATCCTAGAAATTTGATTAGTTTCCTTTATGGAAGTGTCATGGTTAGCATTTTACATTTGCCTTTTGAAATAAAAGTAATATGTTAACCTAATGCCAACAGGTAAAAATGTTTGGCAAGTAGACTTAATAACAGGATAGTTAGCTTGCATTGGCAGTTTCCCCGGTTTTGCGTCCGTCATTCAGTAGATTGCGAGCAACATTTGACACCTGAAAGCTTTTGTTATAATTTATAAGAATATAATTTTAAGGTTTACCTTTAATACAGTTGCCATTGCCTTAAATCTTTACCATATAAATGAAGTTGCTACTATCGGAAAAACAACTCCGTCCGATGAGCCAATGGTGTGGGAATGGGCATGAAAATGTCGCCATCCGTTTTTCAGTCCCCAACAGCCATGGCATGTACGTACATGCCACCCATCAGCTAGTGGTTAATGTGGAGATTCAGATAAACCATATTTTTCCTAGTAGTTTTAAGTCATGATAATAGCAAATAGTTCTAGTAATAGCACTGAAATTCTGGCCAGATTTTTTCCATTTTAGACTCCAGGTATTTTACTAGGCTAAAATCAGATTAATGTAATGAATTTCACACTTCACCTCCTGTACTAAATGTGTCCTGTCATAGGATGACTTGAGCTGCTCTTCAGAACAGTTGAAGTTGACCATTGATGGCCTGGACTGTGCAAGGGAGGGAGAGGAATGATCGTCCTTAATAAGCTCTCTCAGGACCTCTTTCTTAATGTCCAGTTGGGATTGAGCTAAAAAGGGAAGATACATGTGTAGTCTTGACTCTTTCCTATCAAATGACATTTATTCTTTCAAAGATGCACCAGGTTCACATGCTGAAATGCATGTATCTGTGCATTCAAGTCATCTTTGTGTGATGTGCACTTAAGTTTTCCTCAAGGCAAGTTTTTCTTCTATCCTTTCACTGAAAGATCATGAATGTCACATCAAAAGGGACAGCAGGGGGTATATATTCTTTAAATTTTCACTTTAGCACCTTGAATACATGGCCAAGTATGAAGCGATAGTAATGTTGACATCGACTACAAATTGTTTAAAGTAGAACTTAAGAATTCAAAGTATAGCATAGTAAAGTCACCAATGAAAATATAACTATGATCAAATTTTATTAAATGTTTTCATTGCAGATGCCTCGTCGCAAGACTGAGAAGCGCCAGTCGGCCATCGACAAGGTGGTAACCAGGGAATACACCATCAACCTCCATGCCCGCCTTCATGGAGTCAGTTTCAAGAGGAAAGCAACCCGTGCCATCAAGGAGATCCGCAAGTTCGCCAAGCAGCAGATGAACACGGATGATGTACGCATTGACTTGAGGCTTAACAAGTTTATTTGGAGCCGTGGCATCAGGTAAGGATTTGATATTTTGTACCATTGAAGTGCGCATATTGGAATTTGTGTAAAAATTATTGCATGTAAAGTTTCATATTGGTTCATTATATGTAAATATAAACTGCATTGGAGAATCTCTAGAAAGTGATTAGCCCACCTCACTAAAGTGCTATTTTTCACCTCCTGCACTAAATGTGTCCTGTCATAGGATGACTTGAGTTGCTCTCCAGAGCAGTTCAAGTTAGCCATTGATGACCTGGACTGTGCAAGGGAGGGAGAGCAATGATCGTCCTTAATAAGCTCTCTCAGGACCTCTTTCTTAATGTCCAGTTGGGATTGAGCTAAAAAGGGAAGATACATGGTGGTTATTAACTCATATAATGTTATTTGATAAGAGATAATATATCTAATCCCTCTTCTCCCAACACAGGAACCCTCCTTTCCGCGTACGTGTGAGACTTTCTCGCCGCCGCAATGAAGATGAGGAATCCAGCCGCCCATTCTACACCTTGGCAACTCTTGTGCCTGTCGCTTCCTTCAAGGGACTTGGAACCGAGAATGTAGATGAAGGCTCTGAGTAAACTTTGCTTAAATTGTGTGTTTTCATAACCACGGCCATCAGTGTCATATGATTTACCACAATATTAATCATGATTAAGAGATCATTTTGGTAAAGTTTGAAGTTTCTTTTTCACTCATAGTGGTGAAAAGTGTAATCTAAACATGCGTGGATTAACTTTTATTTAGAATATAGCTTATTGATAAAGTACCTGTGGGATATGGCTTATTAAATTGTAGTAATAATATTTTAACTCGTTTGTCAAGCCATAATACTGGATCACACTATAAGGGTTATTGTATGTCACATCACAAAAAACATGAAATCTGTCAGGGACACATGATTTGATTTTCATACAGTATTGACCATACCAAGACAAAACCAGTTCCATCTGATGTAGCTAGAACTTAGACATGATTAAATAGGGCATTATAAAAACTAGAGGATGAACATTTTCAGTTACATTTCTTGCACAGTATGTCATTACAAGATGGGACATCTGTCAACACCTCAGAACCACTTAAGACAAGTAGACCTAAGCTTCCAGATTTCTCCAGGGAACTTGATAACTTGAATTTGATACCCCCCCCCCCCCCCTAATACCTTGCTCATTTTTGTTGAGGGTAGTTAGGAGACAGAGGCACAATGTAGGGAATTGCCCCTGCCTTGGGCCTTAGCCCAATGCCTTACCGGTATTTTGCAAAATGGTGTGTAAACCCAGAATATTGTTTTAGACTTGGGCGGTGCATGGGACCACGCTGGAGAGTGCGTGCCGTGGTATGTGTTATCTATATATGGAAAATGTTTGTAAAAGTATATATACCTTGCAAATACATGCAAGCACACAAACAAATGTAAATGCGTTCAGAAAGAGTGGAGGGCCTCATTTTAGCACACGCCGAAAGGCGTTCAACTTCTTTAGAAGGAAATGCTCCATTGATGGTTTTCAGACCTCTGCCCCTCCTTTGACCACGGCTGCGACCACTGATACTAATATCCCCTCTACAATGCTTGCAAACAAATTCAACCATTCCAAAACACTCAACCTCTAGAAAGCACCCTTCCTCTCTCCCAACATTCTCTTCATCTCCTGCTGCACAGTTCTCTTTAATGTCTACTCCCTCTTCCCTTATTACTACTGTTCA